ACTTATCTCTACCTATCTAACAGCATTCCCTTTCCTCCCCTCCCACCCCTGGTAACCAACAAAGAAAATTTCCTTCTATAGATAAACCTTAAGTTTTACAATAATGGACTAATACAATATTTGTCCTTTTGTGATTGACTTATTTCACTCAGCATAATGTCCTCTAAGTTCATCCACATTATGTGGTGTTTTGCTGATTCTACATTATTCTTTAGCGTTGTATAGTATTCCATTGTGTGTATGTACCATAGTTTGGTTATCCATTCCTCAGTTGATGGACACTTAGGTTGTTTCCATCTTTTGGCTATTGTAAATAGTGCTGCAATGAACACGAGTGTGCATATAATCAAATATTTTTGCATAGTCAATAAAACACAAGTAAACATCTTCCCAGTATTCTTTGACTTGAGCCAAGATCCATCTGACATCAGCAATGATATCCTTTGTTCCATGTCCTCTTCTGAATTCAGCTTGCATTTCTAGAAGTTCTCTGTCAATATACTGCTGCAACCGTTTTTGAATTATCTTCTGTAAGATTTTACTTGCGTGCGATATTAATGATATTGTTTGATAATTTCCACATTCTGTGGGATCATCTTTCTTTGGAATGGGTATTAATATGGCTCTCTTCCAGTCTGTTGGCCAGGTAGCTGTCTTCCAAATCTCTTGGCATGGCTGAGGGAGTGCCACCAGTGGGGCATCCATTTGTTGAAACATCTCAATATATATTCCATCAATTCCTGGACCCTTGCTTTTTCACCAATTCCTTCAGTGCAGCTTTGACATCTTTCTTGAATACCATTGGTTCTTGTACATAAGCCACCTCCTGAAATAGATGAAGATCAACCAGTTATTTTTGGTACAGTAACTCTGTGTATTCCTTCCATCGTCTTTTGATGTTTCCTGCATCTTTCATTATATTGCACATAGAATCTTTCAATATTGCATCTCAGGCTTACATTTTTTTCCTCAGTTCTTTCAGCTTCAGAAATGCTGAGCATGTTCTTTCCTTTTGGTTTTCCAACTCCAAGTCTTTGCACATTTCATTATAGTAATTGGCTTTATCTGCTTGAGCTGCTTTTTGTAATCTTCTGTTCAGCTCTTTTATCTTGTCATTTCTTCCATTTGCTTTAGCTACTCTCCACTCAAGGGTAAGTTTCACAGTCTCTTCTGACATCCATTTTGGTCTTTTCTTCTTTTCTCTTCTTTTTAATGTCCTCTTGCTTTCTTTATGGATGATGTTCTTGATGTCATCCCACAATTCTGGTTTTTGGTCATTGGTGTTCAATGCATCAAATCTATTCTTTGGATGGTCTCTAAATTCAGGAGGGATATGTGGCTGTTGCTGTTATGTGCTGTTGAGTTGGCCCTGACTCATAGTGACCCCTCCTTGGGTTGCGAAGGCAGTATCACTACAGAAGCAGATTGCCCAACCTTCCTTCCGGGGAGTGGCTGGTGGGTTTGAAACTTCTGGTTAGCAGTCAAGTGCCTTAGGCACTATGCTACCAGAGCTCCTCAGGAGGGACATAGTCAAGGTCATATTGTGGGTCTC